TAGATTCTAAGTAAAAGAGATAGCGACCAGAGTACTACAACTTTCCAAAAGAAGAGTTCTTTAGTAACTAATGCCACATCAGTTTCATAGCTAAGTACCAAAATAGGGCAGTGCTCGGCTGTGAACTTAACCTAACCAGCCTAACATGGATGACAATATGTATTATACAATCCTCACAGAAGATAAAACGGATGCCTCACAGTAAATTCTAAACAGTTCAGATTAGTATCCTTTGTTTGCACATAATAAGTACAGCAGTCAAGTTCCTCCTAGCTAACTTAAGAAGATCATTGACAGAAAAAGGCCATCCATTATTCCAAAATGGGCTGAATGCTGATGTATGCATGAATGAAGAGAACTAACCTGTGCCAGCAAAAGGCATCTGATGGAAAGGCACCGTTGAAGCTGCCGGTTCTCTATGTAACATAGCAATAGCGACTTGAGGGTCAACAATGCGCATCACTACCTGAGCCTTAAAAGACAAGAAAGGATGAACAAAAGCATAATAGTAACTCAATTTGTATTTCAAATCCCGCTCACTTGAAGAAGGGCGTATGCGAGCTGCGGATTTTGGACAAGCATTTGTTTCGCTTCACTTGGATTTGATCGTACAACGTCCTTCATCTGTTTCATCAGCTCGAACATCTTCTCAGGTGGAAGCGATGCCACGGTACGAGAGATAGCCTGAATCCACTCTAAATAAGAATGAAGATTGAAATTCCACGCAGCTACCTCTGGCGCGCGACCTTCTTCTGGCTCAGGTCCATAGGGGCTCTCTTCAACTTGAGCAGCGCTCAACGCAGCTTGTAGCTGTTGTATTTCATCGGCACTCCGATCACCTCCCGCTGCACTGTCTACACGAAGTTGCCGACCATTCACCTCATACCTTAAACCAATCGTAGGCGAATAAGGTGTCTGTGTATTATACGGTTGATAGATAGAATATCTCTCAAGCCCACATCTGCAACTCTATGGGAACTACATCACCTATCATTGCACAAAGGCACATAATTGAGTAAAACATCTTCAGCTACATGTATTGATCTACCCAACCACTGATACGATAAAAATAGGATCGGAAATGGGTTGCCTGGAAGTTTGGCAAAGGGGAGGGAGGGATTGTAATGCGGTAGTCATGCTTGATCCTGATTTAACTACACATTTTATGGTAGCCTTCCTAGTATAGCTGCATGGTTTTGTTTCAGGGAAATGAAGGCTTGTGCGTAAACAACTGCGGGTAGTTGAATTATATAACGAAGCGAGATTATGCATGGTAAATATCGAAATGCAGACATTTGGGGGCAAGCGACATATTTTCAACGAATAAATTTCGGGTGTGGTTCCCTCGAACATAGCTTCAGTATTTTCAAGCATCAATACGGTACCAGTAAGAGACTCTTGCGAGGAGACCATATTGCAAAAGGGGCGCGATCAAGTAGGCGATGCTGTATTTGCAGCGATGTTCTGTGGACAGGATCAGGAAAAACTGATGACTGTAAATGGCTAACCGTAGA